ATCTCTATTATTATTACAACCGAGGTAACAGAGGCACAGAGAGATTTAGTATCTTCTCCCATGCTGTGCAACCAGAGTGAGGAGCTGAGAAGCAAGCTGTGGAGCCAGGCTCCAGCCCTCGTGCAGTTGTTGGAAGGATTAAATATGCTTATAACAATGCCTGCTTTACAGAAAGCCACAATAAGTCTCAGCTGCCGCTACAAGTGTTATGCCCTCCTACCCCAACTCTTGGAAGCCTACTTGGTCCCAGATGGCTGTTGTGTTTATGTAAAAAGGCTCCTTCTGAGCTCAAGCCACACTGCAGCCTCGTCTGCCCCATTAGGGACACAGCCCTGCAGTACAACAAATAGCATCCACTCTATACATGCTCTGTTTTCTGGTCAATTGTCTGCATGTCTCTCTCCACGGATGGCTGGGACATCCGGCTTATCCTGGCTGAGAAGTCCCCAGAGGACAGGAAACGCAGCAGTGTGAACTCAGCATGAAATGAAATGGGTCTAGAGTGCCAGCGGTGCCAGCTACATCCTGGGGCCTGCTAGAGTCGAGGGAGATGGTGGCAAGGTGTGTGGCTTGGTGACCCTGTTTCCTTCCCTGCCACTTGGCCGGGGTCTACCGCGATTGGCCTGAGCTTGGACCATGTGCAGTCACCACAGTGAATCCTGGTGGCAGATGGAAAGGAAAGGGGATGAGAGGAGAAGGGCATGAGCTGCAGACAAGCAGGGCTCAAATCCTGACACAGCCCGGAGTTGCGAGTCTTCAGACAGGCTTCAGGGCCTCCCAGAGCCTGAGGTTTTTCCTTTCTAACAGCACTAAGACCACTGTTGAAGAGCCACACTGTATTCACAAAGAACTTTGTATAAGAAGCACCTACTGTGTGCTTACACATAGTAGGCTTTGGGAAATTGGGAGGCAATGGTGCTAGTTTAAGTCCATCTGCTGACTCAGCATCAATCATGAGCCTAAGGCTGATCCCTCCTCAGGGAGAATGAGGCCAAGGTCGACGGAACTACAAGGTCTACTGGAGCTTTTACTCACTATGTTCTTTGATGCTTGCTCTCGCCTCTGTGCTGCAGCCATGAGCTCAGAACAATGTCTTCATGCTCTCCCCGAGAGCACGGCACTCATACCTCACTCTTACCCCAGACTAAGTCCTAGCAGATACGCCACGTTTCTTAGAATGAGCACTCTATGCTCCAGTCCACGAGACATGAACTTGTGGCTTAACGACAGAGTCTGCTCACCAAGGGAAAAGACAAGGACCAGAAGTAAACTCTCCCAGCAGGAGGCCAACTGCACAGTCCTCTCCTGGTCTATGTGTTTATCAACCCTCATATGAGAAGGAGGCGGGGAGGAGGCTCTGGCTGGTTCCCCAGTGACATGTGTTTCTCTGAGAGAAGATCCCTTCAGTGTGTGTCCACTTAGCACTCATTCAAACGTGCCACAAAGTGGAAGTAATTAAGGAGCCCATGTAAACCCCAAGGCAACCCTTCCTAGTCCTCTACACGGCCTCACTCACACATGTGGCCATGTGGCAGAGTCAGCCCTGGTTTCCTTGCCTCTTCAAATTAAGATCTGATGATGACCTTGCAGAGAGAGCTGCGCTGAGTGTGAGCAGATGGGCTCAATGCCAAGTTGTCCCTGAAAGAGCCAGGGGACCCTGGGACAGTCGGGGAATGCAGAAAAGCACCTCTGGACTAGAGTCTTAGACTCTTGCCCCCAGGGCCAAAGCAGAAGGAACAGCTGGCTGTGGACAGTCCTTGGCACACATAAAGGCCATTCCCAACACCCAGCATGGTGGCAAGACATCATGGGAAAATTTCTTCTTGCTATATAAAGATTATAAAGTGTTCGTTTGGACTCTGTTCCAGGCAGAAAGAACTCTTTGGCATTCTCCTCTCTCCCTTCTAGGACCCTGCACCTCCCCCATGCTTATGAGAAGAACAGAGAAAGCCTGGTGGCTTCTGCTTAGTTGGGAGAGGAAACCTGGCTCACAGGGGAGGCATGGGCAACAGACTGCTCACTCTGGATTCCTTGCTCATCAAACAGGGAATTCACCAACAGTCTGAGCCTAAAGGAAACTCTCCTATTTCCCACATATTAGTATTAAATCTGATTAAAATTAGTATTAAATCTAATTTAAATTAGTATTAAAATCAGGAAATAACCTGGAGATGATGGCGCATACCTTTAATCCCAGCACTCAGGAGGCAGAGGCAGGCGGATCTCTGAGTCTGAGGCTGGCCTGGTCTACATAGTGAGTTCTGGGACAGCCAAGGCTACACAGAGAAACCCTGTCTCAAAAATGAAACCAAAAAGAAAAGAAAAGAAGAAGAAGTAGCAATGAGCTCACTGTCCCATGTGAAGTGGGGTCCACTGCAGCCTGCTCTATGCATACCTAATACAGTCAACTGCTTTGTCAACAGGTATGGGCAGGACACTGGGTGGGGGGACTTCAGGGACACCAACGAAAGGGTTTGCAGAGCCACCCCCTATACTGTGAGCTCCTTGAGAGCAGATCAAAGCCCCCCTCCACTTCTGTAGTGCTAGCAGTGTTTGTTTGGCACAGAGCAAATGCTCACTGGGCACTTGCTGACTGAGTAGTGAACACACGAGTGAGAGACTCACAACACGTCTCGAGTGAGTTAGGAAGCAAAAGGGCAAAACAGAGCAGAAACTTTATGGTTGCCTTTCTTCCTCTCCTCCCTATCTTCTTCAAGCTCAGTAAAGCCTAGGGCCCCTCACAAAGAAGGCATATCCTAACTCTCTCTCCATCCATCCCATCAAAGAGCTCAGTGGATCCTCAGCAGAGATGTGTCTGTCACCATGACAACCAGCGAGGACCACAACACAGGCAGCGCCATGAACCTTGATCCCCTTCCCTTGGTATCTTGGGGGAGACTGGCGCTTCCCATTGTTCTGTGTGAAGCCCACCTCTAGAGTTCAAGGCTTCTTGCCTTCCCACACACGGACCCCTTAACCCGGGATCTGGAGGACCATTTTCAGATCTGACTGGTAAGGGTGCTCTCCAAGACAGCAAGTCCAAGGGTTCCTAGTGTCAGCCTGCAGCAGACATGAAAAGCAGAAGTCCTCTTCCCCAGCTCATGGGGTCATAATTGGGAAGGAGCGCCTGGCTAGGTGGATGGAGATCATTAGCCTAACAATGTGGTATACACATAAGGAAGCCATTACGCTAACAAAACTGCAAATGTAAAAATAGAGCCGCACATAGTTTCCTGGTTACCGCATTCTATTCCGATGCTTTGTCAGCGCCTGTGAAATCCAGTTCGCTTTTGTCCCCTGCCGTGCCCTGCTCCCACTGCATGCGTGCTATTGTGGGAGGAGATGGTTACCCTTTAAATGCCCTGGCCTTGCCCCAGGACTGTCCTCCGCAAGGCCTGCTGTAAGAAGTGAGTGCGGCGGCCCTGCAGTTGCTCCAAGATCACTGCTGTTGAGCTCTGTAGAGATGGCTCCAAAGGGCCAGTTCACCTACCTTCCCACCCAACGGAGAAGACAGTGACGTGCTATCACTGTCAAATGATGTCAAGGCCAGGCTGTGAGCTAACCTCACATTTTGCCCACTGAAGCAGAGCACAGAGATAAAGGTATAAGACCAATCTTCTGGACAGGCTTGGGCCTTCGGAGCAAGTTCATTACGGACTGATGGTGTCAGAGGTATAGGATTTGTCTGGCATGCATGGGCCCATGGGTTTACTCCTCAGCACCGCAAACAAAATCAAGTTTGTTTTGCCAGAGCAAATTTCCCTTGGCCTAGGATGCTGACAGATAGAATGTGTTCCCCGGGTGTGCTGTCACGTGTAGTTTGGTGCATACGCTGCTGAATTTTATGGCTTATTTTTATTTTTTAATATTGCTAGGAAATCAATCAACACATAGACCTAAACGCTATGCAGAGTGTAGAATATGACTCTCTTAGGTCCTAGCCAGTGGGTCCCAAGGCACTCATCGAGGGACACAGGACACCCGAGGACATACTTGGAAGAGGCATATTACTGAATTTGAATTCTAGGGTCTACTCGGTCAGTCTGGGGTCTTTGGGTTTGTTAGCAGCATATGTGCTCTGGGTGTCACTGTGACTGCAGGGTGACCCGGGGAAGGAGACAGGTGTGGGAGTGGCTTATTATTAAGAGTGTTCCTGGGCGTGAAGCAGGGGTCAGCAAGCTGGGCAGGTAGTTATGGACTGCCACCCGGGCTCCCAGCACCTTCACATTGAACTTGAGCTCCACCACAACCTGGCTGTCACTCTCCCGGCTCGTCACCTTTCTATTGTGATCTCCCTGTGACACACCCAGAGATTCTCACAATCTGAGCACTGGACACAGGTGACAGTGGCCCCTCATGGCCACCTTCCTAGCCTGACCCTGAGGTGCTCTTAGACTTGACAGCTTTACCTTGAGTTGAGTCAGGACAGTTCACAGGTTAGTTAGATCTCATTGTCATGAGACAGACCTGAGGGCCAGGGAGATGGTTCTGCAGGTAAAGGCACTTGTTATCAAGGCTGAGGGTCTGAGATCAGTCCTGGAACTCATATGATGGAAGGAGAGGACCAATTCTTACAAGTTGTCCTCTGACCTCCACATGTGCCCTGACACCTGTATACACACACACACACACACACACACACACACACACACACACACCTAATTTTTGAAAACTAAAAGGCTGGCTTGGTGCTAACCTGATCTTCATAGCAAGTTCCAGTCCAGCTAGGGTTACACAGTAGAACTCTGCTTAAAAAAAATAGACTAAAATAAACATTTTTTTTTTAAAAGAGATAGATCCAAGATGGATGTGGTGGCATCACCCAGCACTGGAGAATGACAGGTTTGAGACCAGCTCGGAGTCCTTAGTGAGGTCCTGTCACAAAGCAATAGAAAAGAAGCGGGTCCCTAGGCCCAGGCCACTTCATTCCTTGGAGATAAGGAGAGTCCAGACAGCAATGGGCTCCTGTGCAGGAAGTCTTCCCCAGGCAAGGTACTTACCCATGTAGGACAAGCTGTCCTCAGTCCTCCTAGTGGGGCTGGTGTATCCATCAAGGGTCCAGCTTTCCTGAGGAACGGGGCCAGGCTCCTGGTCTGTCTGCAACCTGTGGGGCCGAGAAAGAAAGGTAACTCATGTCTTCAAAGCCCTTCTGTGGGCTAGGCAAACCCTTTCTGAGCTTGGGTCCTCTCATCTACCGTGCTCTAAGCTCTCTGGGCCAACCCCTCCTGGGGACATGTGTGCATGTGGACACTCCAGCAAGCAGCAGAGCTGGGCCAGGAAGGAGTCCCCGAGGGCACTGAAATGTTCAACATCTGTTGCCCTTTGTTGCCCAGCAGCATACATCATCATTCCCAGAGCAGAAAGATACACCCGCATCTCAGGCACGGATTCCTCTGCCCTACTGTGATTCTTGCCCTTAGGATGCTCATGTTTGCGCAGCAGAAAGCATACCCGCAGGGAAGGGCTGTCTCTGACCTTGAAGCCACTGACTCCTGGTACTCAGAGGGCATTTGGCCTCTGTGGAACTGCTCACCTGAAGCACACTAGGTCAGGAAATGAGGGGTACCTCACCCTGAGTCACAATGACTCCTGGGAGGACAAGCCCATGCTAGATCCATGGTGCCAACAGGAAGGAAGGGTGGGGTCTCTGGACACTGGCTACCAAGTGTACAGACCTCAGAACTCACCCCCAAACATACAATTGCTCCAGGAACAAAGGCTGTGGGAGCTCTCCTTACATGCAATTACCCTAGGCTCAGAGCAGTCCCGCCTATCCCCATATCCCCGCCCAATGTCAGCAGCTAAATGGACCCTTTGGCAGCTTGGCAGGAGGGGGAAGGGAGGGCTGTGCAGACAAGAGGGGAAATTGACAGGCTGGGCCAGGGGACTGTGGGAGTCTCTAGCGCTGCTGTAATTTGTCTTTTAGGTTTTCACTTTTTCCAATACCTCTACGTCTGGGACTCTGAATCCATCTCTGCCATGAGTTCACTGTGTAACCCAAGCAAGCATCTTCCCCTCTCTGGGCCTGGTTTTCATCAGGACCAGGAGTGATGACCTCTGAAGGGCCAGGCTGAGGTGCTTACTGGGTTTGCAGCAGGGGTTTGTGGCTATTGCTGCCTCTCTCTGAGCCATCTGGGCAGCGCTGAGGTGTTGTATGCCTGCCACCCTCAGATGGTACAAGGCAGGGTGGGAGTAAACTGAGAACGCAGGTGATCTCGTTCTGCTGGCCCCTGGGAGGTGTTGATATAATGGGTACACTCATCTTATTCAAGTGTACAACAGTCAAGGGGACAGGGGGAAATGAAACAGTTGTTTTCCTGGAAAAAAAAAAAACCAGAATGGACAGGCAACAAATTGTTGTGAAAATAATGGGACAGCTTACTGAGGTGAGGGAATTCTATATAATATATGAAAGCTTCCACTGATAGTATTATATATAAGCAGTGTCTGACTTGGAGGAGACAGGTGCTGACCAACTCTGGAACTGGTTTACTGTCACAAGTCTACTGCGGCATTGTGTCACAACGACAGGTAAGAATGAGCCATCTGTCCGTACCAGGATTCCCAAACCCAGGAGCGTGAAGGAAGATGGCCTTTGCCTCTCTGCTATTAGTTGGCTCTGCACATGAGTCTGTACCTGCCTCTATTCCCTATGTATGCCAGGGTTTATCTCACTTTTCAGCCCAAGCGGACAGGGCAACTTAGGCCAGAAGTCAGAGAGAGGCTGAACCAGAGAGAAGAGGAAAACCACAGTGGTGACCTCAGTGTCTCCACTCTCCTGACACCTTTAGCCAGCCATCCCTCCTTAACTAAAGTCTGCTGCAAGACTGGCCCCTGGATGGAAGGCATGCATGATCAGCAGACGACAGAGCTTGGTAGCAGGGGAGAGGTAGGATGACGATGCAGGCACATTGGCCCTTTTACAGAAACATACCAAGAGTAAGGAGAAAGTTGTGATGGAATTGGATGTGTGAGATCAGAAAGTGGATTGGCCAGAAGAACATTCTGCCTTCTGGGGTCCAAGAAGGAAGGGCATCAAGAGGAGGTGGGAGGTGGCGGGCAGTTGAGTGTCACTGGGTTGACCACACCCAGGATTTTGAAAAGATATGGCTGGCAAGTTGGGGCAAAGTGAAAGACGGGTAATGGATTTGTTCCCCAGACCAGGCTGGAGACAGGAGGAGGAAACCCATTAACCTCTGCTTCTGAATACACCTGAGGTTTTACAACAGCCCAAGGTGTTGGGGATGGAGGGTAGAATTCCACGAAAACAGGATGTCTATGGATTCTAGGGAACAGATGGCACCTCCTTGGCTGTAGAGCTTAGATGAGTGGCCTAGCCAAGCTCTTGGCAGAGCTTGTCCATGGCAGCAGCTCTCGGCCGTGCACGGTGTGCAGAGATCCAGCCCATCTGCCTACAGCATGCCGGGGGTATCCTCCATCCAAATCTTACTCCTGCTGTGACCCATCCTCCAACAACCACTGATGACCTGGGAAGTGCAAGGTCTAAAGGTGGGCTTTAGACCTGCTTCCCCGAGGTGCAACAATCCCATTTCTGTTTAAAATGCAAGCATGCAGTCAAGGTATGCTGAGTACTGGAAACACTGCTCTGTTTAAGTTGCGTTAAAATGTTCAGAGGGAAATATTCCGACCTCTTTGAAAAACGCCAGACTGTAAATATACCAGGGGACTTGTAGGGTGGATAATATAAAACCTGAGACTACTTAATACCTTCACACTTTTTCCCAAAGAATGAATTCAAAATGAAGGGAATCAGGTAGGAAAAGGAAGTCGTAGTCACCTGGGAGGCATTTAGCTGTTAGGGAAACGGCCATTCCAAAGAAGGCTGGGGCTCGAGTGTGGCTCAGGAGTAGAGTCCTTGCCAAGCATGCAGGTAGCTGTGTGTTCGAACCCCAGCAAATAAGAAACAAACAAGGAACACTTTCCATGTGTCCATGCTTCTTGGTTCAACTTTAGCTTCAGACTCTCAGCGGAGAAAGAAAAGGGACAGATGTGACCGCCCCTCTGTGCACTGAGTCGGGAGGAACAGTTGGGTCAAAGGGCTCACCTGGCTAAGGACTCCTGGACTGTGGAATCTGCTGGGATCCCGCAGTAATGAAACTCTCTGCCTTATTGTCGGCCTTTCTCGCTGTTGGAAAGTTCTTCCTATCCAGCCTCAAATCTGTCTTGAGCTAATTCCTAGCCACCATGCCACTGAGTCAGCTCTTTGGAGCTGCCCCAAGCAAACTAATTCATCTTACAACATGACAGCCTTTCCCATATTTGAGAACAGCTCACAGACCATCCTACACCTTCTCGTTCCAAAGCAAGCTAACTTCTTCGCTTCCTCTAATTATTCTTTAAACACCTTTGTGGGACTCCTCGCCAATCTGCCGGCCCTTTTCTAAATGTGTTTTGGTGTGCCGATGTCCTTTTAAAACCTGGTGCTCATGACTGAATGTAGCGGTGCAAGTGAGGCCTGACCACAAGCAGAGTATAGCGGATATTAACTTCCTTGTCCAGACCCCAACACTTATTCCTGTGATACAAAGTTGCACACAATTGTTTAGAGATCTATATGCACCTGAGTTGATCTCTAGTGAAGGATGATACCCACAGGGCCCTGGCCTTCAGCTGCTCTGATATCTATCTCAGAGGTCCTCAGTACCCAGGGGCTGATGCACGAGCTTTAATATACCCCAAAATGCAAACTGGCAGCTACTTCCTATATTCGCATGGGAGTGGGGGAAACTCAGGAAGTGAGTATGGCCAGGAAAGGGTTTAGTTTGCACTCAGGCATTTCTTTTTCTTTCTTTCTTTATTTCGAGACAGGGTTTCTCTGTAGCTTTGGAGCCTCTCCTGGAACTAGCTCTTGTAGACCAAGCTGGCCTCGAACTCAGAGATCCGCTTGCTTCTATCTCCTGAGTACTAGGATTACGGGCATGTGCCACCACCACCTGGCTGCATTCGGGCATTTCTAACTTACATAATGATTAGTAATTAAAATTTAGTTTACTCAATGTGGTCATGTTAGTAAAGAGTTATTTTTACTTAAAAGGCGTAGTTGGCTAAATGTTATTCCACGAACTCAACTTGCCATGTCTGAAAGCTAGAGAGGCTGCATGTTGGCCACACTGCTGTGAGCACACGGCTACTGCCAATGACAACAACACCTACGTAGCGATTTAAGAAGTATTACTGACTGCCAATACACCATGCACATAAACAGGCACAAGGCCGTGTGACAAGTGGTGCAAGCAGCGAGAGAAATAGAGATGGACAGACAGACACAGAAACGCTATGAGAACAGCACAGAGAAGCAGTTAAGGCTTTGCTCAAGCGACTCAAGACTCGGCGCTCAAGACAACAGTTTGTCTAACACACAGTGGTGGCAAAGGGCCTGCACAAACTTGGCAAGCCAAGAGCACCCGCTGACCTTCCTGCCTGTGTATCGGGTGCGTAGACATCTTTAATACCCTAATATAGTTCCGTCATTTCCAAGTGTGTGTAATGGCCACGTTAGGGACACCCTCATGAGTTTCTGTTTGTTGTCAAGGTCCAGAGTTGAGAAAAAGCAGAGGATTTAAGATTATAGGTCTGTCTCACACACCCAAGTTTCTAGCCATCCCCTTTCCTAGCTTTTGGCCCTGTAGTCTCCACCAGCCATTTGTCACCAAAGCATCTGTTCTCAGTGAGTTTGCCCCTTGGTCTCAGCACCCTCATTCCTCTTTCTCTCTCCACACCCCAGCTCACCTGTACTGAAAGGGGGCCACCGTGGCTGTGATTGGCTGGTTCTGCTGATGGGCAGAGGAAAAACTAATGACCCCAGGAGTAGGAGAGGGCCTCATGCTGTGCACAGGGCTGCAGACGGGAGAGGAAGTCCCTGAAGCTGCCCCTTCATCAGGCTCCAGAGACCTAGGGCGTTTGTAGGTTTTGTCTCTTTGTTCTTTTCCCTGGCAGCTAGAGAGCATTCGACCTTCAGGAGGTCCTGGAATTTGAGTTTCTCCATAACAGCTTGTCTGGGGTGGGCTCCTTCCCCTGGTCTGGCGAGCGGAGATCCCTTCCTGGGTCTTCTTCCTCTGGGTGCTTTGTGTCTCCCCAGTTCTTCTGGATCCCGCCTGACTGGAGAAGGCTGTTTTGGGGGTTATCCTGGGGCTGCTCCAAGGGGAGCTGGAGAGGCTTTCTACACTCTCAGCCAACTCCCTGGCTGGCCCTGCAGCCCTGGGGGTGCCTCTTCCTCTGTAGGCCTTGGGCGAAGAGTTTCTGGAAGAGACTGCAGTCTTGCCCCATCTTGGGGAGGTAGCACGCTGGGGGCTCAGGGCCAAGTCAGCCTGCCGAGGCCGCAGCTGGGGAGAAGCGCCTGGGGTGTGAATCCTAGTCTGTGATGAAGCTCGAGGCACAGGGATGGAAGAGGCGTAGTGTGGGCGGCTGGCAGAATTCACGTTGGCCATCTCATGCATCATCAGCGACAGGGTTGGGGCTGTACTAGGATCCTGCAGAGACGGAGAAGAGGAGAATGTCAGGTAAAGTCTCAGGTCCCTGTCCCTGGTGCATAAGGATGGTGCTGGTATTGATAGACAGCTGTGGGCTTCCTGCCTGAATCTGGACAAACAGGTAAGCCTATGCACGAAAAGCCTGCAAGAACATGTTCTGCGCGTGAGTTTTGTTTGACTTTCCTTGACTCTGCTCCTCTCTAGTGATGGAGACAGACTCACCTCACAGATGCTAGGGGATCAGGACTTTCAGGGTACCCCAAGTCCTTTAGAAACCTCCTGAGGGAAATGTAATATCATCCTACATGTCATTGAACCCAATGACATGCAGACCACAGTTCTTCCAATCCAGAAACTTGTCTCCCTGAGGCCCAGGCTCCTCCCATTCTCGTACCCTCCTAGTTGATGACCTCTTCTGGTCCTTTTCCTAATCCTACAACCACAGGGGATTTGAGCACCTGGCCATGGGTCCTCTCTGCTCGTTCCCCACCTGTATCCTGCATCCTCAAGACTGTTCTTTGCCACTTCCTCTCCCCCTCATCTAACTTCAGAAACCGAGGATCTCACTGAAGGCCAAATACCTTCAGTCACCAGTGTGTCTTCCCTTTTCTTCTACCTTGATTCATTCATTATCCCATCTCCCTTCCAGATCTCAGTCTCCCTCTCCCACCCCAGTTCCCCAGTTCTGCCATGTTAATGAGTGAAGAGAAATATTCAAAGAGAATCTGTAGCTGTTACAAAGGCACATGTAATTAAATTTGGATCAATTTAAGAGTCAAGTCTTTAAAAATCAAAACATAAGTATTTACAGAATACAGACACGAACATGTCCATGATTTTGTTATGGCGAAAAAAACTTTCTAAGCACCACATCAAAGGCTGAAATAATAAAGGAGCCGGAGGTGGTGGCACACACCTTTAATCCCAGCAGCACTCGGGAGGCAGAGGCAGGTGGATCTCTGTGAGTTCAAGGCCAGCCTGGTCTACAGAGCGAGTTCCAGGGCAGTTAATGCTATTACACAGAGAAACCCTGTCTTGAAAACAAAACAAAAATAAATAAATAAATAAAAACAAAATAAAACAAAAAAAGAAGCCAGCAGCAGAGTCAGGGATGTTTATGCCGTTGGCGACCTCTCCCTGACCTTTGAGCTGGGGCCCGAGACCAGCTGTGGACTAGTCTGTGAGAAGCCAAGATAGATGCTCCAGCCAGGGTGGGTCCAAGAAGCAACTTGGAGGCTGTGAGAGCATACAGGCGTTCTCCCAACAGATGACAAGAAAGAGAAGCCATATCCTCTTCCCTTCCTCTAGTTTATACTTCAGTGGCCTGATGACATTACTGGATGACCTAAGGTACCCTCCACTTGCTCCATTAGAGGTGGCTAGCAAAGCCATGTGCATTCAGAGACCACAATGAGCTCTCTTCTGCCCCTCCAGGGTTGCTGCATGGAGGACCACACCCAAGGCTCAGCTGACTCCTGCTTGAACTGCTGTGCACTGCTAGCCCTCCTGCCTGGTCGGATTGAGGGAGTGAGTCACCCCTGGCCTGTTAGGGGTACAGAGCATCCTGCTCTGTCTTCAGTCCCAGCATGAAAGGACCGAGGAGTCCTCCCACACTGCCTGTACCTGCTAGAACCTGGAAAAGTATGTAACCTCTCCGTGCCTGAAAAACAAAGGCGCGATAAGACTGAGAAACAGATCATGAGTCCTTCAACAAGAAAAGAGCACCCTGCTAGACAGCCTATGGCCTCAGTGGGGTGGAGGGAGGATATAGCCTGTCACTGGCCTTCCACTCAGCCACCCCCTATAGTGGTCAGCTCTGTCTGTCAGCTTTGGTGCCGAGCCCTAGCCCGGAGGTTTATGTGGGCTCAGGGGGCTGACCTTGGCCTAGAACACTGAGCTGCGTTGGTCTCTGAGCACTGGAGCTGACCAGCAGGTCCACTTGTGGCAAAGGCTTCAGACTACTGATCTGTCCTACCCACGCTCAAGACTTCGGCATTTCTACGCTCTAGCCTCCTTGGTAAGCTGCTGCAAAGGCTTATTTCTGCTCCCATCCTTAATCCCAATCCAAATCCAACGTGGGAACCAAAACCAGTTAGGCCCCTCAGACCACCCCTTCTGGAAAGTTCATCTTTAAGAGAATTTACAAATTTGGTTCAGCCTGATCGATCGAGTGTCTCCAGGGTGCTGTGCCCTGACCCAAAGACCCATAGCAGCCCACCTACCTGCTCTGCCAGGAACCGCCAGCTCCTAGCTCTGCAGGACCTAGTCTGGACTTCCTGGCCTCAGATGTCCCCACGCCCTCTGGCTAGGGCTGGCTGGCTTTCCAGTTCTCACGGTTTGAAGGCCAAGGCTGCTTCTAGCTCCCTTGCTAATGGAGTATACCCAGTCACTGCTGCTTTCCCTAGATCATCATTTTTTAAAAAGCATGATGGGAGAGGACTTTTAAAACCGTGCCGTGGTAGGTTGCTGGGGCCCCGCCCTGCCTCTCCATTGCAGTTGCTTGCCCCTCCTCCTCAGAAGGTCGCCCTCTAGGATATTGGAAGCAAGATGCTGCTTGGGAGGTGACAGCCATTGTCCCAGGTTGAGCCTGGGAGAGCTACAGCAGCCTTAGAGTGATGGAGGGTCACCCACCAGGTGGCACATTATTCTAGCCTGTGGCAGAGGGGTCACTGAGGGGCATCCCTAGTTTGCCTCTAAGAGAGCATCTCCGAGCAATGTAAGGTGAACTCGCACATCTGCCCTTACCAAGCCGTTCCCTGTGTGCCTAGAAGCAGTCTCTCTTAGTGAGACATTTCGAATCCTCACAACAACCTGAGAAGGCAAGTCTTACCATTCCCCTTTCGTGGGACAGGAAGGTGATGCTACGGTTAAGTGAGTTGTGCCAAGGTGTACTGGAGAGGGGATGACCCCTGCGGATTGGCAGACTACACTCACCATGTACCCAGCCTCATCCCCAACACCCCTTGTGCCATGATGGCCTCTCCCTTGCTGTCATGTTGTTCTGAGTCTCTCAGAGATGGAGCTGGGGAAGGGGATCAAGTCCATAGGTTGGAGACCAGGAGAGAAGAAAATCAGTCATAGGCAGCACTGGGTGGGGAGCTCTTCTTCCCCCAACATCTCTTATATCTTATCCTCTCTGTCCCCCGCATTCTGTTTGCCTTGGGTGGTTGGGGGAGAATGGGCAGGGGCTTGGAGAGGGGGAGAGGTGATGGATTCACTCAGCCTGGCCACAGCTCTATTATGACTGGTAGGTGACTGGAGATACACATGGTCCAGGGTAGAAGCGTGTGTGATGGCTCATCTTGGGTGTCAGCTTGCCTATATCTGGAATCAACTTTAACCCAAGCAGCTAGGCATCACTGTCAGGGATTTTATTGATTGGATCATTTAAGATGGGAAGACACACCCTAAATCTGGACACATAAAAAAAGGTCATGGAAGAAAGAAGCTTTTGCTTTTTGTCTCCTTGCCTTTACTTTTGCTGGCAATTTCATCTGTCCTGTTGTTGAGGCCTTCCTTGGCTGCTATTAGAACATACTTCTTTAAGATTTCACTGTAGACTGAAGCCCAGCAGCTCTCTAGAAATCCTCTAGGACTCCAGCATCAGATTGGTTCTATGGAGACATCCAGTCTCATGGACCGAAAAACTACAGGATTTCTGTCAGGAGACAGCCACTGTTGAACTATCTGGATCACAACCTGTAAGCCACTTTAATAAATCCCTTACATATGTGTGTGTATACAATTATATATGGGATTTATTGAATGAATGATATGAATATATTAATGAATGAATATATGTATATAGTCATTATGTTCTTTTTTATTAGTTCTGTAGAGAATGCTGACTAATACAGCTTAGGACAAAGGGTAGGGGGTGGGAAAGACACATGGGTGTGGGCCTCTGAGCTGAGACATGGACAATGGTGCCTCCTGAGGTCATAAGTAGACCTCTGCCCGATATTTTGTCCTGGGCTACAGTCTGACGCCTGCTGGCTGTGGCACCTACTGCACTCTTAGTGAGACAAATAATTTCGGGACTCCGTACTTGCTCTGGGGCCTATTCTGCTCCTGCTCTGCCCTCACTCCTCATTGTTTTGGGTCCTGAACAGACATAATAACGGGATCCTGGGGAGATGTTTGACTCTGTTCAAGCCAAAGAGCTTGACTGCTACCACCATCAGCCTTCATGACACCTTCACAGTGCATCTGAGGAGCGTCAAGGGCAGAGGAAGGCTATGGAGGGAGCTGGAAGGGGATGCAGAGGACGAGAGAGAGAGGAGAGAGAGAGAGAGCACCAAATTACCAAGTTCTCTGACCTGGCTCTTCATTTGGCCTCAGTGAAGAAGAAGGTCTCAGGAGTTCCTTAGTTCCCTCATTCTGGGAAACCCCGTGCTCACTGCTACCTTAGGGAGTTGGTACTCCGTGTTACAAATAGCATCCCACTTTCAAAAGGATTCTTGGCATCATCTCTTTGTTCAACAATCACACACTCTAGCTGGGTACCTTCCATCTGCCACATGCTTTGCCAGGTGCTATGAAAATCAAGATGGCAGAGGCCCAGGTTCTGATCTCAAGGACTGAGAAACACACCAAGCAGCCTGTCCGGCGGGTACTAAAGAGATAAAATGAAACACCATTGAGACCTCAGGGTCTGTTAGGGGTGTGATAACTAGTGAGACTTCAAGGAAGAGGCAATAATAGGGCTGGTGGTTCAGTCTTAGAAATGGTAATGTGGTATAGGGTTCATCATACCCATGGGTCTATCCATCCGCTCCATCATTCAGACCCTGCTCTTCAAAGAGATCGAGCACTACAGTGATGAAGAGTAAACTTCCGGATCCAAAGCCTGGCTTTGCGTATAGTGTGACCCCTGGTAAGTTCTAGAACTTGTGTTTTTCCATTCTACAAAATGAGACCAAAATCAGTTCCTGCCTATTAGGACACCTTCAATAAGTAAGTTAGTTAAACACAAAAGGC